TTAATCATGAAAGGGTGTTGGATTTTATCAAAGGCTTTTTCTGCATCAATTGATAGGACCATATGGTTCTTGTTCTTTGCCTTGTTGATGTGATGAATTGAGTTCCTTGTTTTTCAATGCAGCGTAGTATTCCATTGTGTGAATATACCAGAGCTTCTCTATCCATTCGTTTGCTGATGGGCACTTAGGTTGTTTCCAACTCCTTGCTATTATGAACAAAGCCGCAATAAACATGGGTGTGCAAGTGAACATTTTCTTAATTAATTATATCCATAAAAGTATCAAACTCATTGCCATTGAGTTGATTCCAACTCATAGTGACCTTCTGAGGCTGTAAGCCTGTGTGGGAGCAGACTGCCTCATCTCTTCCCCCCCTTTGGAAACTGGTGGCTTCAAATTACAGCTCTTTCATTAGCAGCCCAGCATGTAGCCTATATGACACATATTCTGTGAGGTTTAAATGTCCTTGTTGTTAGGTGCTGTCATATGCTAGTACCCTCTGATTAAAAACTAATCTGCATCAGAATTGGATTGCAACTATGATGGGACAAGTGACATAACCAAACAAATAAGACTCAACATACAAAGAACAACAAACTTGATGATGCTTAAGGCACTCATCTGTTCATTAGCAAGCTCCCTAGTTACTGCAAGTTGGAACTGTTACTGGCTGTCTAGGGGGAAAAAACTAAGAGACAATCACTGCAGATAAATATGAATCTTGGTGATGTTACTATAGCAATGATAAGGGCATAAACACCTGTTTTTAAAAGCTGAAGACAATAGTTACTCCTTTCCTTGCCTCACAGTGCTCATCCCTGTTTGCTGTTTGTTTACCAGTTTGCCGAGCAGCAATTAGAAAAGGCGTTTGAGAAAATCACTGAGAGTAAAAATAAGCTGGCCTATGACAAGGGAAAACTCCAGGTATGGGCTTTTATTTTCTGATTTGTGTCATTTTTAAGAAATACCAATTATCAAGGTAAATTGCCAGATTTTGAGAGTACTTTATCATGTACTTATTTTGGAACTTTAGACAAGTCTCTGAACCTCCTAAAATGTACTGTCTCATTAAAATACAGATTATATCTTTTCACACACCTATAATATAATGGTGTTGTTGTGTCCCATCAAAGTGGAATGAACCCAGAGTTGATGCTTAGGCAGATTATCAGAGGAGGTAAATTACAAGCCAGGAGATTGCCCATCTTTCTCCCATGGTGCAACTTGTTGATTCAGACTGTACACTTTTGCACTAGCAGTGGAAACTAAGGAGGACTTGAAGTGTTTTCTGCAGAAGGCCAAGGACTGCATCCTTCAATATGGATTGCATTTCAACATCAAGAAATAAAAAAACTTCATCACTGGACCAGTATTCTTCATCATGAGAGATGAAGACAAGATTGAAGATGTTAATAATTTAATCTTGGTCAGATTCACAATCAACACCCTTGGCACCAGCAATCAGGAAATCAAAAGATAAGACACATTGGGAAAATCTACTGTCAAAGACCCCTCCAGAATGTCTAAAGACTAATCCAGACCATGGTCTTCTTACTTACTTACTATGTATCTGAAATGACTAAGGATAACAGAAAAACAACTGATGCCTTTGAGTTGTGATGTTAGAGAACAGTATTGGACTGCCAAAAGAACAAACAGGTCTGCCCTGTAGAGGGTGAAACCAGGTTGCTCCTTGGAGGCAAGAATTTTAGAACTCTGTCTCACATATTTTGGCATGTTGCCAGGAGGAGCCAATCCTGGAAGAAAGAGAAAGACCCTGGCTGAGATGAACTGACACAGTGACTGTGGAAGTGGGGGCAAGAGTGTCAGAGATGGTGAGGTTGGCTCATGATGGAGCAAAATTTAGAACCGTTTTCATAGCGTTGCCATGAGTCATAGTTGACTCAACGACACATAACCAAAAGAAGCCAGCAGAGCTCCCTACAGTATAATGATGAAGTCTGAAATCACAAAGCCTAAACCTTTCTATGACTATTTAAAATTTTATTGTAATTGTTGTATGCTTGGACATTCACTGAGAATGTAGCAAGTCTATTCTCTCTCTTTTTTTTTGTTTTGTTGACTTTTTAAAAAGAAATGGCTCTGGAAATTAGAATTTAGAGACAATGGAATGGACCTGGCTGAATGTTATATTAGTCTTTTGCTCCCTGATGTTTTTCACCCGTGTGAGATCCGTACAGAAAGATTTTGTTAAGGTGCAGTCATACTGCCTGCTAAATCAACCCATTGCCATTGAACTGATTTCTATTCATAGCAACTCTATAAAGTCAGTCTGCCCAATAGGATTTCCAAGTCTGTCTTTACAGAAGCAGACTACCACATCTTTCTCTCACCAAGTAGCTGAACAATTTGAACTGGAGACTTTTTGTTTAACTGAGTAATTTAGCCACTGCACTTCCAAAGCTTGTTTGATAAGGGTAGACCTGTCTTAATGAACTCCAGTAGAGACAACAGTGTTCAAATGAGTGATTCTCAGTCTTGGAATCACCAGGGTATATGCATTTGCGTAGTGAGATTCTTTCCACTTTCCTGTTTAAAATTTTTCATCATGAAATAGAAGATTTCCCATGAACTAACCATACCCCAGAGCTACCAAAATGGAATATCAGGTAGTAGATTCTAGACATCAACATTTTTTAAAGCTCCCAGGTGATTGCAATATGCAACCATAGCTGAGGCCCACTGGACTAATGTGAAGGAGAGGCACAGTTGTGCTTAACTATAGAGCTGATTTGATAAGTAAGCTCAGTAGATGCTATGCTAGACATGTCCTGGTTGACATCATCTTCATCTGATCAAGGGTTTATGTGAAAGATCAGGCCCAGAAGCAGCAGACTGTCTGACATGTGCCTGACAATGCTTGTGAAGCAGTATGTTACTAGTCCAATACAAAGATAAAGCTATTTGTCACTATAGGTCTGTTTTTCATTTTCTTCTGAGGCAATTGTGCTATAAAGTATAATTATTACACCTTGGATATGTCTTCATTTTCTTGGATTTCATCTTATCCACATGTAAAATGAGGGACATCTCCTTTATCTAGCACATACAATATGCAGAACAGATAATTTGGAAGGCTGGACTCTATGAGGAAGAATGTAGCATCAGGATTGGAGGAAGATTCATCAACAACTTGTCAAAATTGAGGAGGACATGAGGCATATGCTGTAGAAGGTGAAGGACTGCAGCCTTCAATATGGATTAAAGCTCAGCATCAAGAAAACAAAGATTCTCACCACTGGGCCAACTGGTAGCTGCATGATAGATGATGAAGAGATTGAGATTATTAACAACTTCTGCTTACTTGGTTCCACAGTCAACACACTTGGCACCAGCAGTCTGGAAATCAAAAGACAAATTGCATTGGGAATTCTGTTGCCAGCAACCGCTCTAGAGTACTGAAGAGTAACAATGTCTGTATGGAAATTAAGGTGCACCTGATACAAGCCATGGTCTCTGCAATCATTTGCTATGCAGGAGAGACCTGGACAGTGGCTAAGGATGATAGAAGAATTGATGCCTCTGAGTTGTGGTGCTGGAGAAGAGTATTCAATATACTGAGATATATATATATTCAAAGACTGCCAGGAGAACAAATAGTTCAGTCTTGAACAGGGTGAAACCAAGCTGCTCCCTTGAGGCAAGGATTTTGAAGCTCTGTCTCACATACTTCGGGCACATGGCCAGGAGGAACCAGTCTTTGGAAAAGACTGCTTGTAAGGGTGGAGGAACAGCACAGGATAGGAAGACCCTGGATGAGATGGATTGACTCAAGAGACTGGAGAAGTGGGATTGGGTCTGTCAGAGATGTTGAGATTGGCTCAGCACAGGGCAGGCTTCAGAGCTGTTGTACATAGGGTGGCTATGAGACAGAGGTGATGCAACAGCACATAACAACAACTAGAAAGGATAGTCAGCAGTGCTCAGGTCTTTTGTTCAGAGTTGCTATGAGTTATTTACGACTCGACGGCACTTAACAACCACCTTCCTAATAAACTTCGTAACTGTTAATATGCTTCTGTGAGCTATTGCAATGGATTTTGGACCATGTAGAGCAGTAAGATTGATGTTGGAATTAGCAGAAAGAGGTGCAGAAGCATGTCTATCCTAGAGGAGGGACATGTCTGACCTCATGAGGGTTGGTTTTGTGTTGTGGGTGTGGATAGTGGGGGCATTTCCCCCTTATGGAGTTAGTAGAAGTCAAATATGGTCATGTTTTCCTGGTTCTTTTTAGTCTTTGAAAGATGAAAGTTTTTACTTAATTTTATGTTAGTCCTTGGACTAGAACATTTTAAAGGCACTGACTTTGGCCTAAGAAAAGTGATCTTGTAGTACTTAACACTTGCAAAATCATTTTTCAAAGAGCTGCATGCTAGAGCAATAGTCTGCTGTGCATTCTCTGTCAACTGGATGATATTAAAGATATTAGATACAAATCATACAAAAAACAATGTTATGTTCAGAATGGACTAGTAAATTGATGTTACAAATACTGAATTTTCCATATTATTTTAGACTGGCAGTATCAAAAGCTGCCCTGTGTTTTATCAAAGACCTACTTAAAATGCCAAAAAGCAGAGACAACAGTTTAAAGTCTACAAGCCAAGGTATTGTCAATTGCTTCATTTGCTGTGAAAATGAATAAGAAAGACCAAAGAAGAAATGATGGTTTTGAAATGTAGTGTTGGCAAAAAATACTGTCAGAAGAACAGAAGGAAGGGCAACCAGGATGCTACTTAGAGGCACAGACGGTGAAACTTCAAGTCACGTACGCTGGACATGTTGTCAGAAGGGCCAGTTCTTAGAAAATGACGTCCTTCTGGGAGAGATCAGCTAATGACTGGAAGACCCTCAAGGAGATGAATTGGCACAGTGACTGCAACAGTGGCCTTGAGCCTGATGGAGATTATGCTGATGGCACAGGATAGAGCAAGGTTCCTGTCTGTTCACAGGATTGCTGAGACCTAGTCAACTTAAGGGAACCCAACAACAATAGTATTCCATTAAAGAACATTGATGGTGGAGTACTTACTTGTGTGATTGCTAACCAAAATGTTAGCAGTTCAAACCTAGCAGTTACTTTTTGGGAAAAATATCATGGTAATCTTCTTCCGTAAAAATTACAGTCTTGGAAATTCTATGGAGCTGTTCTACTCTGTCCTACCAACTCAATGTCACACAGCAGTAACACCTTTATATATAACTCATTTATATAAGCATGCCATAATTTATTCATCCATTCTTTTTCTATTAGGATGACTTTTTACGTATATCTCCTTGTATTTATATGCAAAAGATTCTCTAGGCTAGCTATAATTCACAGGGGTGGAATGACTGGATTTTAAAATGTATATATCTTTCATATTTTATGAGATTTTTGTCAAATTTCTCTTTAAAATAGACTAGTATAAAATACAGTGCTAGTAAAAGCATTATAAGAGAATGAATATATTGTATGTACTAAATAGGTACATTAGAACAGCATCTCACAAAATAGTTCTATATACCACTTATCACTCGCTATCGGGTATGTTCTGATGCATGACGATGCTGGGTGTGTCAGGGTAGAACTCTGCTCCATATGGGTTTTTATTAATAAAAACCTACAATTTATTGCCGGCCAGGCAGAATCCAGTCAATAGCTGGCTCTCCAGAGGGTTTCAAGAGGCTGTAGTAAACTGCACAGAAAGACATTGTTCGTCTTTCTCCTGTGGAGATGCTGATGGAGTCAAACTTCCAGAGAGGTACTGCCTTTGAATTGGCAGTACAACTCTACAGAGCTCGCCACTGGAGCGCCCTTATTTTATTGTTCTAACCCCCTTGTTTTTTTCTTACTTTGTTTTTCATCTAGGCAAAAGTTAAGCAGCTAGAAGAACAACTCCATTGCCTTACTGACACTGGGTTACAGAACAACCAGCTTCGCAAGTTAAATAAGGCGCTGGAGACCAAATATGCTCAGGTGTGATTAGTATCTACCAAAGCAAACTACAGCT